CCATCATCCATCCCTCCATCCATCCATCCATCCATCCATCCATCCATCCATCCATCCAGAATCAGAAATAGCTTAATAATCCCAGAGGGGAATTACTTAAATTAGTTTGATGATGTCAGACATTAAACTGTTAAAAAGAAGAACTGAGTTAAAGGAAGATTTTTTCTCAGCAGTTAAATGTCATCTAGAGGTGCTGAGGGGTCAGAATCCTGCAGGCAGCGTCTGCATGAAATGGGCTGTAAATGAGCGGCTGGATGCTGAACGTTGCATCATTCTCTGTTTTCCTCCTGCAGTACGACCCAGAAAATACGGGCTGCATCAGTGCGGAGCAGTTCAGGGACCTGCTCGCCACTCACGGCTCTGAACTGGACCCCCACAAACTGGAGGTGCTGCTGGCTCTGGCTGATGGAAACGCCGATGGAAAGATCTGCTACCAGGACCTGGTCAACCTGGTGAGCCTTTCTCATTCGCATGCAGTAAGCATTGTATTAAAGGAAAACAGTTCCTGCTGGAACTTTCTATAGATCTGACCACGAGGCATTCCTCATGCCTACTTCATGTTGTCCGACAGGTCCAATAAATAAGGTTCTAGAATCAACAGGTTGGGCAGGAATCACACCTGCTGGAAAAGTTGAACTAATCCAGTCTGATGCACGCGGACCGTATGCTAACGATTTAGCCTTAAAGATTTTATTTCTTGTCACTTTTGTCATAAACTTAATATTTATGTTACAGCATTTTAGGTTTTTATTAGAAAAGGGCTACCAGTGGGTCATTTTTCATTCCCAGGACGGATCTGAGCTTCCAGTTTGTTCCCCTATAGTTATTCTCAGCAATCAGACTCCAGTTTGGCCCCTTTTGGCGCTGCATAGCGAGCTATCCAGCCCTTAACATTCATGAAAGTCAAATAACGTTAGAAAGTAAAAATTTTATTACATTCTATCCGTGTTAAACCCAACAGAAAGGAAAAACATGAACTTCAGCTGAAGCGGTGGCTGAGGGATTGCTTCTGTTCAGGAATGAACAAACTTTAAGAGTTGATCGATTAATATTTTACGGATACAGTTCAATAAATTCAAATCTAGTGGCTGGATCAAAGGATCATTTTACATGTCAGCCAATTATAAAAGAAAAAACATCAATTTAATCTTTAAACTTTCTGCAAC